TCCTCATATTAAGTTTATGACTCCCAAGTCAGATTTATGCAATGTTTGCGAAACATTAAGATGGAAAATTGGTCATATCAACAAGCTTGAAGATAAAGAAGAGTTATTAGTTGAATATGCTAGTTATATAAGAATTGCTAAACTTGAACGCGAATATTACAATGATAACATTAAAAAAGCAAAAGAAAATGCTTCCCATACTATTAATATTTATTCATCACTTGCTAGTAAAGAAAGACCTACCCCAAATACTGTTGATGGTAAGAGTTTTATAATACCTCTTCAAGCTGTTTTGCGAAAAATATATAACTTTGTCAATTTTTAAAATATGAATAATACTAGCTATTGCTCATTTTTGTTATAATTGGGCACAGAGTGTTTCAGTACTATATTCTCCACAACAAATTGGTCCTTTGTACTTTAAGAGTATGTGCTCAGTCAGTATTTTTGAAATTAATGATACCGGTAATTAGCCTCAATCTCATCAAATAAATTATCTTGTAGATGAAGGGGAGTTCCCTGTAGGAGTAGCAAAGGGTGCAAATACAACTCTAAGTTTGGTCTATGACATACTTATTGAACGTAACAGAGGTGAGAAGAATATTAAGATTACTTGTGATAACTGTGAAGGGCAAAATAAGAATAATGCTACTATTGCTTTCTACTGTTGGTTGGTATTAATTAGTATGTTTGATACTATTAAACTTAATTTCATGATACTCGGGTACACAAAATTTATTTGTGATAGATATTTTGGACTTTTAAAAGCTCATTACAAAAAGTCAGTGATAAATACTGTTGACGATATTGCTGAAATAACTAGAATGTCTACCTATAGCAATAATGCAATCCGTTACAAAAATCATAAGTGGAAATATTTTGATTTTGTCAATTATTTTACTCCTTATTTTAAAAAAGTCCCCAACATTAGACGTTACCATCATTTCTTGTTCAAGTCCACTGAACGTGACAAAGTTTTCTGTCAGGAAACTACTAATGGAGAATTTACAATTATCGACTTATTTAAAAAGAATATTATATTTGATCCTTACATATTATCAAAGACTCTAGATTTACAACCTATTTTACTTACAAGACAGACATATCTTTATAATGAAGTAAGAAGGTTTGTCAACGATCCTTATAAGGATATAACTTGCTCCAGACCGTCAAGTAGTTAAATAAAGTTTATTGCATTATTATTGGTTGCTTAAATT